CTCCCCCGGGGAGGGGAGGAGGGGGGGAGGCGGAGAGTGAACATTACGGGACGAAGAAAGTTTGAGGAGTGGCCAAAATCGGGTACACCCGGCCCCAATCTGGCCATTATCGGGTATAATACTTGTTTTTCACAGTCGGCAGCGCCGTCCTGGCGCCATGTGATTGGCCGACGCCCGCCCCTACCCGGCCCTGACCCTATTCCCACCGGGTGCGCCCGTAGCCGACGCAAACTGCATGTTTTTTTAGGGGGGGACGTGGTATTGTGATGGGATGGTGTACCATCATTCGATGGGATGGAATGGGGTTTTGGTCCCATCACCAGATACCATCCCGTCTCCACCACGCCTGTCGGAGGCACCATCAGTAAAGGGGTGCGGTTTTCGAACGCTTCCCATCCCATCTAAATTTCAATTTAAACTTGCCGTCAGCTGCCGGAGCTACCACCCACACCGTCCCCCACCCACCCACCCACCTATTACAACGTACTTTCTATACAACGTGCATAACATAGAAACTATGGGTAGGGTAGGGGTCCCGCCACACACCAAACACGAAACAGAAGTAGCGTTGCTGTATTATCACCACAATCACGTTTCCCTTGCCAGTTTCTGGTTGTCGTGTTTTTCTTTTGTTTTTGCAAGTTGTTGTTGAAGGTTTAAGGGCAGAGCGTTGTGTGGCCAGAGCGTACGAAGAATAGTTGCCTAGAAGTAGAACTTTGGGCGTGTAACCCCCAAATCTATTTGCTATAGTGGTGCTCTCTGTTGCTATTTGCTGCAAAACAGGTGATAGACGGAGGCGAAGCGTTACTTTGCGCTATTTAGTCTAAATTTTTTGCTGTAATCCTTTCGTGTTTGTCCTGATTATGGTATGGATTCCAGCCGGTAATCAATCCCAACATACCGTGTATCTCTGGTTGTTTGTGGTTAGGGCAAAGCGGGAGGGTACCGCTGGCACTGGAAACACAAAACACCTCTCTGTGTGTACCAGAGTTTATTGTGTTACCATCTTCCCGCCCCCGCAACAGAGCAAAATCTCCCCCGTCCCATCACACTTACTGTCCCACCAGTTACCATCCCATCCCATTACCTTAACACACCCCACCCCATCAGCATCTTGCCCGCATGCCATCCAATCCCATCACGACAATGTACCAGCTATCCCATCCCATCGTAATACCATCAAAAGTGGACGCAACACCATACCATCGCACGTGATGGGAGGCCTAGAAGTTTTTCCGCCCGCGGCGAGCTGTGTGCGTTCATGGGATGGGACTTGGTGCCCGATGTCTTTCAAATGTTTCCCTTCGCATCGTTTCGGGACTTGAGACCATCAATTTTCGATTGACGTATTATCATCCTTGCAATTTGAAAATTTGCATCGGTCGTCTTCTCTTCTTCGCAAGCACCACGTTCGGTCTACTGTACGGCGGTGCTACACAGCGTAGACCGAAGAGGTTGCCCTCACCACGTCTGGCCTTTTCATGTCCTTTTAACAGTCATGGACATCTCTGCACTTTACCCCTATCCTTTCCACTAAATTTCGCCAAAATAGTCGTCCACCCGTTCTGAATAGCTACCCCGTTGTACGGTTCAAAAAATTGTTGTTCGCTCCTCTCCATCTATTATAATTGTACGATCCTCCCTGGTATGTCGCATGACCCACAAGCGGCCAATTTTGAACCGCTCGAGGCATTCTTCTCCACCATCTCCGACCTTGTTGTTGCCCTTCTTCATCCCTCACGCACGCCCCATTTATCCCTGCCAAACGTGACCAGCGCAAATATTTCGTTTCATCAAATTACAACCGTTGCTATGTTGAAGCGAAAACAATTAGTCTATTACCTCTCGACCAGAGAAGAGGCCGGAGGCAATCGATTGAAACCTAAACGGATGTGTTGTTCCATCACCTTCCTCTCTAACGGTTCAGCCACAGCTTCGGTGCCCTGCAGCACAGCCCCCTCACCAGCCACTCCCTGATCTGGATCGCCTGCGTTCCATCACCCGCGCTCTACCCATCGGACAGGGATCCCAGCTTCTTGAGGGAGGGCAGTAACGATCTCCGTTTTCTTCGCTGCTCTATTCTCTCTCTCTCGTCATGCTCGCCGCCGTCGTCCTTTTGTTCAGAGAAGAACTCCATAGACTATTGCCCACCAAAGCTCGGCCGTCTCGTGCAGCAATCGCGGGCGTACGCTCCGTATGTGCTACACATGACATAACCAGGAAGACGCCAAGACGCCACGCCCCTGCTCCCGGCGACAGCCAATCATCGAGCTCGGGACTGTCGAGACCTTGTGTCGCTTTCCCTATCACTTTTTCTAGGCTTTTCGGGCCAAGTAGCTCCAAAGAGAGCTTGCACCGATGAATTCTCCTCGAATGGTAGCCTGTCTAGCCACCGGTATGAATTGGAAGAGACTCGGCGCAGGCTACCTGTGCTTGTGTGACCTAGAGCTGATGGGACGCCAAGGAAGGGTTTTGTGCACACGTACATCAAACAGGAGAGGGGGAGAGAAAAAGAAATACAAGAGAAGCCTCGAGAGAAGAGAAGAGCAAGTTCAATCTCCGATGCATGCAAGAAAAAAATAAGAAAGGATGTCTTCACTACTACAGCTGTAGACTAGCTCCTCAGCGCTCTTTTTTTACGCCCCCCCCCCAAAAGGGAACCGCGTGAGAGTGCAGGTTCAACCTCTCTCCTCTCTTTCAAAAAAACGCCGCACTCGTACACGAGAGAGCATCGAATCGGTCCGATCTCCGCATCTCCGGAAAAGACAGACGAAAAGGCGCACAGAAAACTTTCGTGGTCAACCAGAACCTCTCCTCTCCTTCACGCTTCACGCACCTTCCTTGCACCAAGTTGGCCCTCACCCCTGGTGTGGTTTTAGGTGACGAAGAGATAAGGGAAAAGAAAGAGAGTGTGAGAGATAACCCCTCGCGGCCATGCTGCTTCTTTCTCGGCGATCGTTTGTCGCTGGTGTCCATCACCACGTGCGTTTTTCGCTCGATGCTGGTGATGGCCACAAACATCACCGAAACAGATGCTGCTGTTGGTATGTCCGTACTTGGGAGGAGAAGACACGCTTTAACTCTCTCTCTGATTAGGCACCCGCGGGAGAGAGGAAAGGAAGGGAAGAAGTGGCCCTCCCGAATTCGGGGAAGGGGACCCACACATAGCCTTTTTCAGGCATACGCATGCTCCTGTCTACGTACCCCCCCCGTGCTGCTAGCAGATCTACCATGCTCGTATCCAGACACACGAACACCCTCCCCGGTTCGTCAAGCTATTGACAAACCATCAGTGGGGCATGGATACTCCAGATCTACTTAAGTTACTCATACAACAACGGGTGCAAGGGAAAAACTCGGCCATCCGGATCAAAAACCCTCGCCTACA